TTATTAATTTAATAATTAATAAAGATGTTTTAAATTTCATATTAATATTATTAATAACATTTATAATTATTAGTGATCATATTAAATCGAAAATATAATAGAATTAACTATTATGATAATTAAAATGGAAATTTAATACTCAAATCGAATTTTAATATGTTAACATATTTACATAAAATTTAATACGTTGATTTTTAATATAGCTGTCCTTAATTTTACACATAATAATTTATTATAATATTTTTATCTAGTTTTTTCTTCTAATTTTGCAGATATAATTTTTATAATATATAACACTTGGATTTTGTAGAACTTTAATAACGATTAGTATGTATTAAAAATATATTTTTTAAATTTTTATTTATTTTGTGATTTTTTTAATAATGTATAATGATTAAATTTTGCAAAAAATTAATAATTATTAGTAATTTTAAAAATATTTTCCCCCAATTTTTCCCTTTTAATTTGTCGGATTAAATTTCATAATGTACAATAATTGGATTTTGTGGAAATCTAATAATTATGAAAATAATTTTATCCAAATTTTCCCCTTATTTTGCAAAAATTATTTTTATTAAAATTTTTTTATCCAAATTTCTTTTGTGAAAATCTTTTTATAATGTATAACCTAATTATTAAGGTGGAATCTAGTTTTTTTTATTAATTATTTTTATATATTTATCTACTTTTAATTATTTTTCGGTAGTAATTTATTTTATAATAATATTTATTTTTAATTTATATTTAAATATATTTCTACAGGGAGTTGTCATAAGGATGTTTTGAATAAAAGAAGTTGTTCCCTCTACATTATTTATTTTCTGCAATATAAATGAATTAAATTAAATACAAATAAATATTTAGACAAAAATGTATAATTACTACTTGATTTAAATTTAAATAAAAATATAAATCATAAAAATATTAATTAAACCAGATTAAGAAAAATTTTCACAAAATTAATAAAAATAAATTGAATTGAATATATAATTAATTTTTTTACAAATAATTGATTTGACAATTAAAATTAAAATTCCTAATTAATTTAGTGTATTGATTGTTACGTTTCTTATATTTTGATTTATAAATATAATTTAAAAATTAGCATTTTTAAATTTAAGCTAAAACGTGACCATAAAGTTCAGTCAAGTAATATTATATTCATTATATTTGAACATTTACGGGGATTTTAATTTTTATATTTACATATGCTATTTAACCAGTATTATTCATTATAACGTTTAATATATTGAATCTTGGGATTAGTTAGTATTATCAGTATTTTAGAATTTTAAAATAAATAATTGATAAATTTAGTAAAAATAATGTATTGAAGTTATTCACTACAAACTAAAAAGACATTTCTTTCATAGTGATGTAAATAGGAAATGGAAATAAAATATATTTTTTTAAGAAAATAAGAATACTTTCTCATTGGTAATTAGTACATATCCTAAAAATTATGCACTTATTATCCATTTTTCTAATCATTTTCTAACTTTTTAATTTTCTAAAATTAAGGAAACATTACTTATTCATATGAGATTTATTTTAAATGGTAAATCAAACATTGCTTATTCATATGCTTCATGGGTAACAAAAAATAACAACAAATTATTAATTACTAACTTCAACTATTAGAAGAAAAAAACACATAACTTAAAAACCAACAAAAAAAATAATTGTTGACATATAATATTCACCTATTGTTCACACAACAAACAAGACCATTAAAAGACAAACAATATTAATAATTAATATTCATTAGAAGAGAGAAATCTTGGTTGATTAAATAATTTTTTTAGTTAATTACAATTTTTTGCACAATTAATTCATTTTTTATTCTTGTTAGATATTTTGAACGGTTCAGTTTTAGTAATAAAGTATGTAATCTTACCATTTATCAAATAAATTAATTAATGATTTTTAACTGAAAATTAATGATCTCTTAAAATAAATGCATTAACATGTTATAAAAAAAATCAAACATTTTCAATTTAAAAACTTTATAATGTCACATCCATTCAATTATTAGTAAAATAATTATATATGTTAATTATTGAGTTAATTGATTAATTTAAATATATTAAGCTATAGTTACCTAAGTAACTCATATTTCATGTCAAATTTCAATGATTCAATCATTGAATTAAATGTTCTTAATATATAAATTAAATATGCATAATTTTTTAAAATTTGAAAACTATTTGATGTTTATTTTTAAATTAAAATTAATGTATAAAATATTTTTATAATTAACCGTCAATTTGAATTAATGAAACAAAGTATCAAATTTTTTTTAAATTATTTAAAATTTACAAACTTAATATATGCATTAAGAACCTTTAAAACTCAATAGTTAAAATTTTAAAAATTAATGTAAAATTTAATTATTGAATTATTAAGTGGAGCAAGTTTAAGCAAATATGTAGGAGGGACCCACTTACTCCAAAAGTAAGTTTATTTATACTTATTTCATTCAATAATTCAATAATTCATTCTACATCAAAATTTAATGATCTAACTATTAAATTAAAAGTTCTTAGTGTATAGATTAATTCTGCAATTTTCTTAAAAATTTGTAAACTATGTGATGTTCTGCTTCATTAATTCAAATTGACGGTTAATAATAAAAATATTTATACATTGATTCAATTTAATGAAATGAAGTATTAAATAGTTTTCAAATTTTTTTAAAATTTGCAAGCTTCATCATGCATTAATAATTTTAAATTCAAAAGGTATTGAATCATTAAAACTTGGTATAAAATATGAGTTATTGAATGGAGTAAGTGAAAGTATATTTACTCTCATGTAAGTGGATTTCTCCTTTTATATATATGCTACAACTATTAGAACATCAATTAGCTTAACAACATCAGCTATATATATATATATATACATAAACACATTACGCATCTTTAATTAATGGTTGGATTTTTGAAATACAATATTGTAGACCATTAATTATCGTTAAAATTAAATTACAACACAAACTTAATTATAATTTTTGATAAAAATTATTAAATTTAATTTATAAATATATATCATAAATATGAATTGAAATAAATAAGAAAGTTAAAAAAATTCATATACTTTAATTAGAAAAATGCCTAAAAATGTAATTGTCAAAAAAGAAACCTCTAAAAATTTATTGCGTAGGATAGATATATACTGGTATTAATTAATTTGTAAAAGTGCATATGAATATTTTTTATTATAAATTAATAAAATCATCGGTTAATGGTTTAATATCTTGTTCTTACCAAAAAAGAAAATAGAATTGATACTCACCAACATTATTATCATCACTTTTAACCAATTTATATTATATTTTTTTTTAATTTATATTTAGCGACTGAATATAATTCGGTCGTTAAATTTAAATAATATTTTGCAATCGAATACAATTCAATCACTATATGTGTGGGTTGTTTTGTGTTTGTTAGCAACCGAAATTTAATCGGTGGCTATTTAGCATTAAAAAATTTATTCAACGACCAAATTTTGATTCGATCACAACTTTTTGACAATTCAGTAGTAGATTGGTCGTTGATTCCGTCGTAAACTATGTTCATGAAACACAATCAAACAACAACAAATTTTCTAGCAATTACCTATTTTGATCGTTAAATCGATTGTTATTTTTCACTTTTTTTTTGTAGTGGTAACTTTTTAATGTTTTTCTAAAAGTAATAATAGAATAAAATAGAAACAAAATGTTTTTAATATGTATTTTAATTATATATATATATATTATTTAAAGTTTTATACTTTTAAATATGTGTATTTAGATATTTAATTTTCTAACAATTATTCTTTACTCGATAACTTCAAAAATCATATTAAAAGTTATATATTACTTTTGATAAATATATTATATTGTGAAATGTAATATTTAATAATACTATTTTAATTAATTATACATTATATTTAATAGATGAAATAATTTATAATATACAGGGATAAATACATTTTATATATTCATATAAACATCACATTAATATTTGTGCTTAAATATACTATAATTTGACCACTTTAAAATATGTTTTATGAACATTGGTAAATAAAACATGTCAAGAGGACAAGTTTATCGATTACTCACTGTTCCTATCGACTATTCAACTTGAGTAAGATTCCATAGAAGGTACATGTGATTTTATACCAAATAACAAAGATTTTCTTACCGGAAAAATAAAAGATATTAAATAAGGACAAAGATGGATGGCGATGTAGATAAAAATATATAGATAAATAATAAATTATTGATCATATTTTAGTACTTCCAATTTTCAAAAATATTATATGTAATAAAACTTGATTTCATTCTTTTTTAACTCCCGATTCATTCTATACCCTTATGTTATTATTATTAAGATGAATTATAATTCTTTTTGTCTTCTTATCTTATTTTTAAAATTCATTTTAGTCATTTAAATTTTAAAATGTTTATTTTGTTCTTTTATCTTTTAAATTAGAATTGATTTAGTCTTTATAAATTTAATAAGATAAGTTTTAATTTTTTTTAGACAAATTTTACATCTTAAATTGATAAAAAAATAAATAATTTAAAATCATGTTTCAAAATAAAAAAATAAAAAAAAAACTTCTATTTTCATAAAGATTAAATCAACCAAAATTTAAAAGATAAATAACTATAATAAATATTTTAAAAGGTAAAGGGTCAAAATTAATCTTAAAAATAAACAAAAGTATGATTTTACCTTATTATTAATACTATAATAATAATAATAATTATTATTATATAAAATAATTAATGTCCATTATTTCACATGATTTCTTACCTTAGCAAAATTGATTATTCATTCAATTTCTTATTGTAACATAATACTTGACTAATAAAGCATTGAATGAATTTAGACCATTTTGAATGCACAATCGCAAGGAGGTTGATTTGGCTTCATAAGTTGTCTCATAACAGTTATATAAATATATATATATATATATTCATAAGGTTGATTTCATTTCATAAGCAAGGGAAAGCATAGACACCTTGCACATTACTCGAATTTATTGTGTAAAACAAACACATTCATGAGAGAAACAATGTTACCATCCATTTCTCACGTGTTATTGTCACTTATTCTTTGCGTTCTGCTGCTAGATCCCATCCTAGCAATCAAACAGGCATGTTTTGCCTCAAATTTCACTCGTTTTATTCACTAATTTTCTAGTTTTTAATATTGAAAATGGGTACAATTTTCTTGCGAGGGTGCGAAGCTTGTTATACTTTTAAAGGAGTTACTCATCATAGTTGGTTGACGTTTTACAATAATTTTCATATTTGAATATTATTAATCAATTAATAATGTTTTCGTTTTTCAGTCCTATATTGTATACTTGGGATCACATTCTTTTGGTCCAAATCCTTCCGCCATTGATGCTGAATTTGTCACCGACTCTCACTATGATTTGCTTGGATCATTCGTTGGAAGGTATAGAATTTAATTAATCCCAATTAAGTTCATGAATTTCTCTTCTCTGGTGGCTAAACCATTATAAACTGATTGGATTTTTTTTTTCTTACGCAGCACTGAAAAGGCCAAAGAAGCAATCTTTTATTCTTATAATAGATATATTAATGGCTTTGCTGCAGTACTTGATGAAGATGAAGCAGCCAACGTTGCAAGTATGTAATTCAATTTCATGAGTTTAACCTATGCAAAATGTATAATATGGATAATTTGACAAATATTTACTTTAATATTCTAACTGCTGTTATTTTTATTGGCTTGTGTAGAGCATCCGAGTGTAGTATCAGTTTTGTTAAACAAAAAACGGAATTTGGACACAACACGTTCATGGGATTTCCTTGGGTTAGAGAGAAATGGTGAATTTCCAGAAGCCTCAGTATGGCGGAAGACAAAGGGTGAAGATATCATTATTGGAAACATAGACACAGGTAATGGAGAATGAAGAGTTTCTTTTTTGCATTTGACTTCCTTATTACGTAAGATTTTATTTGAAAGATACATTATTGTTTTACACAACTATGCCTATTGATTAATAAAGGTTAGAACCATCATGATTTGAGATTTTTTTTTGTAAAATACAGTGTTTATAGGCACAAGTAATCAAAGGATAATATATATAGAGAGAGAGAGACGTACGTATGTACATGTGATAACAATAAAGTCTTTTTGTTGAAATTTATTTTGTCTTGAGATAAACATTTTATTTTGTCTCATGACCAAACTAGTCAACATGCTTTAATCCGTAAAATTTGAATTTTGTCAGTTGGGTTAATTTGCGTCATCCGGGGTATCAGATTTTGATTCAAAGTAGATTTGTTTGTCATGTACTATATTAACGTTGATGTGGCGAAATCAAAGCAATCAAAATAACAGTAATGCTGCACTAATTGAAAACTTTGACAAAATTTGGTTAAAATTTGCTTGATAGTGACACTTTGGTATGTTAAAATATTGAATTTTTTTATTTATTTAACAGAACGGAACTTAATACCAAAGAGTTTATAACAACTTAGTACTCAGTCAACTATACTATATGATATCACAAAATATAGAACTTTTAATAATTTTGCAAAAAAAAAATTAAATTTAGTTACTAATGAAGTCTAACTCCATTGATTAAGTAGGATACACTGTGTTATAAATTCATATAAGTTGAATTCTTATATATATTAAAAATAAAAAAAAAGTAAATCACATTAATACTTTTTGGAGATTTTATGAAATTACGCCTAGCCCCCTAATTTTTTAATGTTGTGTAATTTACTATACAAAAAATCAAATTTAGTTAGAAACTATCATGTCTGCATAAATTATTGTTTTCATATACTGGCTTATTCATTTTGGACCACTAAATAATCAAAGGCAAGAAGATATCATATTATTTGTAATAATTTATTTTTCCTTTGCCTGATTACATTTTTTGTCTTCTGATCGATCATACCTTTTATCAAATAGATTGACATTTTGCTCTTAGTACTTAATACGATACTTCTAATGAGTCTCTGATCAATGTTCTTCCATATATTGCTAGCTTAATTTAATCAATTTTCACCTGTGGTAGGTGTTTGGCCTGAATCCAAGAGTTTTAGTGATGAAGGGTTCGGACCCATCCCAAAAAGGTGGCGTGGAATCTGTAAAACAGAAGATAAAGTTCGGTGCAATAGGTTCATTCTTTTTACTCTTGCTAGTTTCCCAAACTATATATCCCACTCAGTAATACACAAAAAATACGGTACTATTTAACCTGACAGACATATTAATATATGAAGATTCATTTTGGTACTCGTGTTAACATGAATTGTATTAGCTTCAGTTATAAACAGATTTTTGGGTGCAAGGAATTAACTTGCATCATGTTAAAATTCATCGAGTTTTAACTTGATATTTGAATTAATTTGAGTTTTGTAATATATGTAGGAAGCTTATTGGAACAAGATATTTTGCCAAAGGTTTAGAGGCAAGTATTGGTAGAAAACTTAATGGCTCGATACTTAGTGCACGTGACTATGAAGGTCATGGTTCACATACTTTATCAACAGCTGGTGGCAACTTTGTTCATGGAGCCAATGCATTTGGCAATGGCAATGGAACTGCAAGTGGTGGATCACCAAAAGCTCGAGTTGCAGCATATAAGGCGTGCTGGCCACAAGATATCTTCGGTGGTGGATGTTTTGAGGCTGACATTTTGGCTGCTCTTGAGGCTGCCATAAGTGATGGCGTGGATGTGATTTCCATGTCTTTGGGTTCAGATTCACCCCCAGAATTTTATCAAAGTGCTATATCCATAGGGTCCTTCCATGCAGTTGCCAACGGCATAACAGTAGTTGCTTCAGCAGG